AGCAATCGGACGGGTACAAAATTTTAAATGATTTTTCCAATATTCAGCAACACAATACGATTAAAAAAATGCATAACCATTAATTTGACAAGTAATTTCGTCCAAGGCCTCCATCATGAGGCCAAGGACTTCAAATGTTCCTTAGATCCACAGAATTACCACGTTTTAACATCAGATTGAAATCAAATGACATGAATAATTATCATACGAGCAAGAATTGATCATATATCAAATATTTACATAAGATCTATTAACAAAGCATCATCACAAGGCATATAATACTTAAAATAATCAGAGATGATGGCCTTGTACCGTTCTCGGGATTAAACACACGAGAGGAGGGTAGGAGGGCCGATGGGGTGGACACGGACGCGGGGTTAGGGCCTTGCGGGTGCGTCGGGGCCTCGCGTGGCTGAGTGGATGCTTCGGCGATCACTTGCTGGCACCGCGCGACGTCAGGGGGCAGCGAACAAGGCCTGGGAATTCACGGAACGCCGGGAATGTGCGGGGTCGGACTGCCTGGCCTTCGGCGATGGCGGGGCTCGGTCGGGGCGCCGCGCGATAAAAGAAAAATGGCGAGAGGGGGAGATCGGAGATGAGGGAGAGATGGGGAGAGAGGCGGCTGAGGAGATGAGGAGGAGAAGTGAGGGAGGTCTTCTCCTTTTATAATGCTAGGGTTAAAGACTTGCCTTCCAAGCACTTACCTAAACAAGCCACCACACAAATAAGGAAGGAGGAGGAAGAAGGGGCGGGCGGACGCGGCATTCATGGGCGCGGGTTGGGCACGGCTCGCGGCTCGTGGGTCTCGGTCTCGGTTCGGCCGAACTTAAAATTAAATTACAATGATATAATTAAAATATTTATAGTATTTAATAATTAAATTAAAATACCAAAATTAATATTTATATATGATAAATACAAACAAGCACATAAATCACTTTAGCATTTAGGCAATTAATTACTAATGACAATACAAGTCACAAATAATGATAAATATAATAACAATAGTAATAATAATAATCCAAAATTATTCATAATCGAACGGGGCGTCACAGATTTATTTCCTCTTGTGGAGGCTCTAGACTACCTTATGGTATGTCTCTCATTTCTCTCTTTTTCGATTCTCTTATTGTACTGGATATTGTATTCGGACTCTGTCCGTTTGAGTTTTATGATAGCTACTCTATCGTTTTGGAAAAAAAAAAACTAATGGGACGTGTAATATCCCGAGATATTATCAGTATAAATTACGTTTAATACCGATATAGTAACGTTATCGTTTATTATTTTCGGAATTAAATAAGTTCAGTCGGAATTACCGAAATCTATTTTTGGCGTACCGTTTACGTCCGAAATAATTTTGGTAATTAAGTATTATGTTTAATTTACTAATTAAACATCATTTAAGTGATTAATTGGAATTAATCACAAAGAAGCCCTAATTGCCGTGTAATAGTGTTAATTTTCCCAAAAATTTCAAGTAAATACCGAAAGCTTTCTTAAGTTTAAGGGAAGAAAAATTTAACCAATCAAAGGAGGTCATTTGTCAAGCAAGGAGAAGGCTTAGTCATCCCTAGTTTAAGTAAGAGTTAAGCAAGTGTCAAGGCCAAGTTTAGCCACGCCCACTCATCGTCATTACTTATCCTTGTCGCTTTGCTATATAAGGAGCCGTTTGGACGGAAATTTTCCCCCAATTTTCCCCTAAGAAATCAGCCCTCTATTCAGTACTTACTCCTCCTTCAGCAGCCATTTAAAGTTCAGCAAATCTTCCCAAAAGTTCATAGCAATTGCACGGCAAAGACAAGTAATAGCGCACGGCGAAGTTCAAGGCTAGAAGCACGCGTTGTTTTCCAAATTCCGTCGAGCGATTGAAGAGGTACTGCTCTCCTCAGCCCCTATTCTTGATAATTAGGTCATTTTAGAATTAAGTGTTCGGTTAATTGTCGGAATTTTCAGAAGAAAGCCGTGCCTTAGGTCCGGTTAGGTTGAGTAAGATCATAATCGGTTTATGTTCAATTCAGTCCGACATGTTCCGAGCATTTATCGTTTATTTAGCCTTTATTCAGTTAATTATGATCAGTCAAGCAAGTATTGTCGTATAAAAGTGAAGTTTTGCCGATGATATGGCCCCAGCCGGCGCCCCCGCGCCTATCGCGCGTAGCCTCGGGTAGCCGCGGGCCGAGGCTT